AAAAAGTATACAGGGTAAGTGACACATAAGCTTTATTTTGGCATTCTAAAATAGAGGTTGATAACAAGGTTTATTTAAAGTAGGAAAAATGTAATAATTCAAGCACATGTTATATCATATTCATAGTTTTAACTAAGCCTTCTCAACTGCCACAGGAGGTCACGAGATTGAACATTAGCGTATTAAAGGTTTTAATTAGGTCTACTGGACGTTTCAGGTATTACCAATTTGTGCAATACAAGATACGGAGAGAACATAATATAAAGGTAGAGATGAAATTAAGTCGGCGTGACTCCAGAATCATTGTGTAGGGTAGCAGTTAAAGTATTGAGCGGCGCTTGCCATCCCCACCCTTATATTTTATCAACCCTTATCGTGTATTGAAACGTCGTTAATGCTATTGCTTGTTGTTAGCCTACACAATGGTGAATAGTTCTACTAAATAATTATATTAGTATCTAAATAATTATAGAAAATTTATGTCTCAATAATATGTATATTAATGTGTTATTTTAATCTAGGTTCACTTTAAATTATTAATTTGCTTATTGAATAGTACTGTACTTTAACCAACGTCACTAATGATAAATAATTAATTTAATACATAATATTATTACACGTGTAATCTGCAACTGGTGGTATATTAAGCAATAATAAGTTTTATTATTTTCAATTATTGTTAACACATGGGTATTTTGATATCGTTTGACAACAAGGTTTATTAACATTTAAATACACCCGCCGCAGCAAACCTGCAGACTAACCGAATTTCCATTCGCCTGACTACATTGACACTAAAATATTGCCTTAAAATTGTCAGATTTATATACTATTTAAATAAAATGTCTTTTAATGAGTAATTTTTTGCTCCTACAGGAAAGTTAGGTGTGTTTTTAGTGAATTTCCCATGTAGGGAATAAGCTAGTACAGTATTTAATTTATATAAATGTGGATAGCCAAATGTAAAATAAATGAACTTGCCAAATGTTTTCAAAAATGTGTGTATAAATAATCAACTACACGGTTTGTTTGTACTCCACAAGGATAACAAAAGAATTTGTTGATTTACACTTTTTATTTATTTTCTCTGTAACCACTAGACATACGACAACGCTTCAACATACTACATTATTTCTGTTCTTAAGCTCAAAAGATTTTTATGGAAAGAAATAGCAAAATCTTATGTTTTTAGAGTCAAAATGGGGAAATCCATTTTTACACCATAGATCCCCATACACCACTGTTCCATATTCCGATCATGCTGGTTCGCGGACAAGTTTAAATAAACGTAGGTACGAAATTTAATCAAAATTGGATAATCTCTGTTAGAGGTAGGCCTATAGCGCTAATGGAACTGAGTGAGTTTGGCCTATGGGGACCTCAAAACAAAAAAGTAAATCGGTCCCGGGTCCAGGTCTTACCATGAGACCTAAGGGTCTCACAGCTTATTTCAGTTTATTCCCCATATGGTGAATTCGAAAAAAGTGAGTCATTTTCAAGTAAGAAAATTTAGGTTTCATATACAGAAAAATAATAACGGTATCGTTTATAATACCAAATCTTAATTTTATTCCATCCAATTAAAGGATACAATAAAATTTTTTAAAAACAATTTAATTTTTATGCTACAACCTGTTGTTTTTAATGGAATTTATGGTAAATGATTTAGTATTGACTGTACTTAACTTTCCCTGTCACAGCATTTGTATCTGCGTCCTAAATTACCTTATAACCTTTTTTGGTTTATATTTATGTTTGGTTTTTTGGTTTGTTCAGTTTATTTTTGTTTTTGTTTTAATGATTTACCTTTCGCTTAACGCTTAGTTTTTGTATTGCACATTATTATTTAATTTTCAACGTAACAACAACTCAGAGTTTTTTGTAGATAAAAACTATAAGTTTGAATAAACAATTAAAATATTAAGCAGAACTTGCGAAACAGTTTAAAAATCATATAAAATCGTGACGTGTATTTTTCTTTAAATAAAAGGCACATAAAGGATAAATAATTACTAAATAAGTAATATAGTTGACACGTTTCTATAAATAGCGACCAAAGCTTTATTTAACCTCCCCCCTCACACATACACACACACACACACACATACACCAACACACAGTTAACTTAAATGAGGTCAACATACTGTAATAACTATGTTGTCTTAGAAAATAGTATTTAGAAAAATAACGATTAATGCTTACTTTTCTACTCAATTATCTGCTCTCAAAAGATTATATATATATATAAAATATTTAAATAACAAAAAAATCTTATTAATAAAACTAGCGAGGTTCTGTGTAGTAATATTATCGAAACCAAATACAATTTCTTTCACAACTAAAATGGGGTTGGAATGTTTAACGGGGTTTTACAAAATAAATTATTTATTTGTTTCACTTTGATACGATTGATGCCATCTATCTTTCTTCTGTCTTTCTTAGCGGGATTTAAAGTTGTTTCAAAATACTGATGTTTCTATTCTGAATTTTTAGTGAGCCGACGCAAAGCTCAGGTAAAGATATTTTTTACTCAACCAGTTATTTGTCGTAAAATAATTTGAAATTGTTTGAATTACGCAAATGTTTCTTCCTAATATCAAAAATAGTGTTTTGCAGCTTTTGTAGCTTCTACAAATACTAAAGCTGTTGTAATAGTATAAATTCAGTAGTAAAGTTATTTATTGTTATGCTATTCTCACAAGCCATCGTTCATTTTTTAACTAAACTTAATTACTTAACTTGGTAATTACTTAAACAAGTAGAAATCTCCTTTAAATAAAATATAAAAAAATATTTGTTTGACATTGGTCTTATATAAAATAACACTATGTCTTCATTTCTACATTCTATAAAGTGACTATCATTATTTTGATTTCGCCATTTGAGAGTGCCACTTAAGTTTCCTTGGTCATGTATTAATTAAATTTTTAACTGCAGATCTAGTTTTTAATCTGTAAGTAACTAGATGGGATTTACCAAAATAGTATTGTAAAAATCTGGACTAGAATAACTAGTAAAAAATCGTACTCAATAAGTTCATCGTCACGTGGGCCTCTCTCCTTGGTGTTACTTCCTAACAACTAATTTTGTATCAATTGTTTCAAACTGTGAAACCTCTATTTCAAAGTACAGCTACCCATGTATTACCTTCTAACAAAATTGATCTAGGATTATGTGAAAACGTACTGAAGAATGACAGCGTAATAAAACTAGCCGAACAAAAAATAGTGTAGTTTATTTGTATTACTCAAATATTACTTTTAAACTCAAATGTTAACGTCGTATTGTCTGTTATGCTAAAACTCCTAACGTATTAGTAATAAATCAATGTGATCGTAAAAATTTAGTAATCAAAATCTCGACATTATAAAACCGATGCACACATCGAACACGTAAACGCGATTTTTATTCTTGATTTAAAACTGTATTGGTAGAATAAGAACGCTTACGGTTAGTATTTTAAATTGAACTCGACAGAACAATCTGCAGGTAAAGCAGGTGAAACAGCGAACAAGTATTAGGAGAAATATCCGTGCAGTGATTCCGAAATCCAGCAATACCACCCTTATTGGTTATATTCACTACTTTACAACAAAGGTTTTCATCTCATTTACTGGAATTTTTACATTCATGCATTTTAATATTAAATATAATATTGTTTGAAATTTTTATTTTTACCATAACTAATTCTTATTAATCAAATTTTCTCAGTATGACCTATGCATGTAGAACTATGAGTAAACGGAGACAATGATATTACATAAACAAATATATCATTGCACGATAATTTTTTACAGGTCAAATAAATTGTTTATATAGTAATATTATCTTAAATATTGTATAAACTATAAATTAACAACTAAACCTTTCGTAAACATTGGAAGCACTGAACAGTATTCGATGTTACTGATATTTGCTATGATTTCACTTTATATCACCAAAAACAATGATTCCTTTATTGATTACAGTAATATAAAGAGTGATCAACACGTTATACAGTAAAATATTTTTTCTTAAATTTCCAGTTTATTTCAGACTTTTGGTAATATTGTTAGGGTTACGTTTTGTAAAAATTAAAGAATGGCATGGCTAAAACATTTTCAAAGTTCTTTAAGCTAAACAATAACATGCGAGCCTTGTTAAAGTAAAAATAGTTTACCAAGCATAATAAATTACCATTGACTATTGCAAAGATACTACTAAGCAGTGAAACAAATGGTTGTTATTTTAAGGTCTTGAATAAACGCCTTAACGATGACGTAGAGAAAAATCTTGTTGTTTTTTTTATACTCTTTTAAAAGATCAATGCGCTAATGAAGAGAATAATGATAAAGTTATATTTGAATTTCTTCTAACCTATTATCTTAAAAACCACCTTAAAACCCAATAGTTAGAAAAAAATACAAACTAATAAATGTAACAATGCCATTAATTGAATTGGTAAATCAATTAATTATCTCGTTACGTGTTTATTAACCTTGAATGTATTGGTATTGTATTCTGAGAAAAGTCTGTGAATGTCTTATGGTGTTTATTTAACAATTTTTTAACATAACGAAACCAACAATAAAGTCTGTAAATCTATCCTAAACATTGTTTATTGTCTCTTTTTGTAGTGAAACATGTTTTAACTGTTTTGTTTAAGTATTTGACTACCGATCAGTTTTTTCCAAATCAAACAATAAATAATATCTATAAATCAAGGTGTAAATATAATTATTCTCAATGGTTACATTGAAAGATTTAAGTGAAACGATTAATTTTACCATTTACATTTTTTTTCTTGAAATGTTTTGTGTTGAACTAAAATTCAATTCATCACCATATTTGGTATAGTTTACCCGTTTTTGTAAAATATACTGTCTGTTCCAATTGTATATTTTTACAATTAATATATAAGTACGTGGTGAAGAAATGAAAATAGTTCTAAAAAAATAAGTTCCTAACACGAAGCAGATCATTTAGTTATACTAATTAGGTTCCATGTGGTGACAACTCACCCCAACCTTAACAAATAGTAGAAACGTATAAAAGAAGATAGTAGTTAATCACAGAGCACAAAAGTAAACGAGAAAATAGACGAAAGAGTAGAAGGAAGAACGCGCAAGAAGAAACGTTATTATCTCTGGAGCTACGAAACCCGAATGATGTTGGGGTAGTGTGTAGCCGAGAAACCGAACGTGATCCGGGACAACACGAACATAGCCGAACATACACGGAAACGCCCGAATATGAACGAGCTGCATCAGCTGACTTATTAAACCCCTTATTAGTCAAGCAGGTATATCTCAGACCCCCATTTTTGAAACAGTCTAAAAGTTAATAGCCGTTTTATGCCTAGTCAATAAAGTCCCACATATTAATGAGTATTTGAATTGTAATAACGATAATGGATTAATGTGAAATATATATGATAGTTAATTATACTAACTGTAACCTATACAAATATTATATAATATATAAATAGTATATAAATACTAAGAACACACACTCTAATGCTAATTTGTTATTATAGATTAAGTGCAAAAGTAATTTATTTTTGATGGTTTCCAGTCATTCATTGGCCAATTGGCTGCTTTAATCTAGAATTATTTGCAGTAGCTTGTATGGTAAACTAATCCGTTGCTTAGGTAGTTACTCGTTTTTAGGTAGTTTTTCCTCTCTATAACCAAGATTATTGTATTCAATTTGATGTTGCTTTAACTCAGTTAAGAAAGTATCCTTTAATGTTGTCAGATCTCGTAGAGACATATCGTATATGGGACTTTTGTTGAGCTAATTAGGGAGCTAAGAGCACTGAACGCTAGCGGCACTGGCAGAATATTTATTGATTTATATTTAACTTTAATTTTATGGTTACCTACTGCTTTACACCAGCCACTTTAATTAATCATTTATAGTTCCTAGCAACTAACAATACTCGACGTAAATTCAGAGTATATTGGACTTTGTATCCTAATTAAATCACTCACTCACTTTGTTTAGCTTCTCTTTCGGTTATGAGTAAGTATTTTAACCAAACGCAATATGCTACTAATACTGTATACGATTAGTAGTAATGGTATCAAGTTTGAACATAGTAAGAGTAGATTCTTTTTAATATTCCATAGTAATTAAAATGTATCTATGTGGGATTATTTGTCATTATTTCAACAAAATTATAGTTTGTAGAAATTATAGTATATATTTCTTTCCTTAAAAAACTATCTCAAATGCTTCAAGAGACTTTTGTAATATAATACTTTTTATAAAATCTTATTACACCAACTTAAATGTGGTTTATTCTGTCAGATTATATTCTGATTAAATACTTTGCAACTATACTGTATCGGTTATAATGGCATTGTTCCCAAACTAAAATAAGGCCAGGAACAGTGTTTAAGAGGAAATGATGTTGAAATTGTGAGTACTGAAGCTTGTAGAACAGAATAAGAAACTAATTTAAGAAACTTCCAGGTTTGGCAATATTACCTCCACTAAGGCCCCCCACTCTTAAGTGGCTTCCACTCCTCCCCTCCAAACCACCTCAGCTCCCACCCCCCACCAAGACCAAGGTTTAATATTAATTCTGCTGTGATTGTATTTGCCCATTGCTAACTGTTCACTGGTATTGTTATCTTAGTAGTGATACCTAACCAGTGTTCATGAATCTAATGAAACTAGTGACATTTGGATTGAGCGAAAGACAATTGGCTTCATCATAATTGGTTACACTGTGACCTTATTGAATTTTAGTTAATTACATAGGTTGTCAAATAACTGGAATAATGATATATGAAATTTTCAGAATATAATAAGTGTACTTATACTACAAAATTAATAGGTGTAACAGAAAAATAGTTTACAGAATGTTTCATTCTAGGGACGATTCCTAAGTAAAGAGTATGGTGAATGACATTTTCAGTAACTCATTTTGTTTTATGTGAATATTGTATACAACTATCTTTTAAAACATTTAATTATTACTAATTGCCTTTTAACATTACTATATTCTCTATTTTTTGGAGTATGGAAAGAAGGAAGAACGAAGACATAAAGTTTAACCATTAATTATTGGTTAAATATTGTGTCATGAATTTGCAGTTCAAGTTAAGTTAGGTTTTCCGAGCATAAAAAGGTTTCTTTAAGATGAAACGTCTATATTTTATGGTGTATAAATAATGGTTCAAAACCTATCTAAAGAGTATCTCCACTTATTTATACACCATAAAAGATAGACGTGTCATGTTAAAGAAACCTTTTTATGCTTTATGAATGGTTTATGAATGGTGCTTTATGAACCTTTTTATGAATGGTTTTGAACCATTGAGTCACACAAACACGAATCGTTAAATCAACGTTAAACACATGATACATTATTGCTGATTGTAGGGATTTAAACCCAGCGCTCGTGGAGAAAATATACTTGCCTAAACCGATAAGAGACTCAATTACAATCCAAGATCAGTTGTAATAATTAACCATCAAAGATTATTTGCCTTTCTGTGTCCCTACGCTTGTTTCCAGATGAATTTAACTATATCCTTAGCTATTCTTACGATCATTTTAATTTTTAATATTTACAAGTTTTGGTTAGCGTTACACACGTAAAAGGTTTCCAGTAGACGTATTGATAATGATAAGTAAAAAATAAAGTTGTTATCTTCTTGACTAGAAAGGTTTTTTTGTTTAAGAGTATGCAATGTACATAGCCAAACGAATAAAATACTTAAGCAATATATATATATATATATATTTACTGACTACGTTACGCGTTGGTAATTTTACGAAAAGAAATACGCCTAATAACACTTGAAATAAATATTTTACACTTACACTATTGGTACATATAAATGAAATGTTCTGATGGTAGAACACGAAATTCTACTAAATATTCTTTCACTTCCTTCTTTAATTAGGTCTTTAAGAATTGCATAGACTACCCAAAAAGCGTATTATTTTTTAAAAAGATTTTTCATATAGTTCAAATAAAATGCTGCATCCATTCATAATTTTGTGTATTTCAATGGCTTTTCCTAATCTGCATCTTGACTTTCTGGTTAATTAAGAACTAATTTTTTTTACATCGATAGGCGTATATTGTGTACAATTTATACCAGTTTTATTTGTAATATTCAATATTAAGAAAAATTAATTAACTATGTTACTTTGTCATTAAGTTGTCATTTCCAAACTAAAAGAAATGTAAAAGCGAAATCTGACGTCTTTTTCATAAAAGTACAAATACCCCTCAAGGGAAATTTCTTGAAAGGTTTACAAGAGTCGAGATGGTTACAGAGACTCTCGTTAATATTACTCACCTTTTTGGTACCTGTAATGAAAATGTGAATTATCTTCTTAAAAACTCCAAAATATTTTGCGATAAAACTTTTAACTTTAATAGCGACACAACATTATAAGTGGTTTGCCTATAATTTCATATTTGTTTCTTTTAACATAGTTTTTCAATTGGTTAGTTACAAAAAATGCATTTTAAACAACAAAATTCTCTCCATCAAACCGGGACAAACCTCATGCTTAACAAGTATTAGGTATTAGCATAGCTGATCCTTAAGGTTTGTAAAACAATGAGAAGTGTGTTTAACTTTTAATAATTTTGAATATATAGATAATACTTTCCCGCCAATTGGAACATTCCATAGCCTCTTGTAATAACGGAAACGGATAACAAATATTATGAATACGAAGTAGATGGAATAATGTAAGGTAGGTAGTAACGTATTTGGAAAATAAATAAATTGGGGTTTAGTAGCTTAAAATGAGTTTGGGTTGAGATAGGAGGTTTGCCACAGAATTGGCAGCAATGAGACCATCTGGGGTTCTTTATCCCAATTTGTGGCTTAAACTACCCCTACTTTGCGGCAGCAACCAAAGCCGTTCGCTTACAGAGCTGTAGCAGGCAATATCTGAGATTTATTATATAGTAATTGCTTTAACCGTTAAATTTTTTTGTTTTAATCATTCATTGATTATTTATTGATTGATCATTCTATGATACTTACTTAGAAATGGGTTTCTAAACAATGATTTATAAAGGTTATGCAGTAAAAATACTGTGTTAAATGCTATAATTTACTAACTATAGGACTACTATCCACGTTAAAAGTCTACGATGGATTTAACTAGGACCGGGGTTAGGCCCGTGTCTTCAAAAATAATTCTTACGGTTTTACCCAAAAATGATTTTCTTAATTAATAAAGGTAGGTTTAAATAATCATTTAATCATATTGTTAAAGGAATTTTAATTTTAAAAGATGATAGAAAACTAAATTTAATTATTTCAATGTTTACAATGCTTAGATAAAAATATTTCTATGACACCAAAAAATAGAAAACTTATCATAGAAACTCAGCTATAAATATTTTAACTTGCTACTTAGAGAAAAGCATACTATTTTTTCGTGTTTTGGCTTTGTGTCTTACTAAACTCCATGATTATACTGTATGTTTAAAACTGTATAATTTGTTAAAGTATTACTTTTTTATCGTTTATATCGGTGAGTGACATAAAACCGTCATCGTATAAGGTGGTTGATTAAGTAAAAATCTTAACGAATTAATCGACAATTTATATTTTGTACTTGAAAACCAAATGGGGTTGCGTCATTTTAAAATAAAATAAGTAGTGGGGTTTTTATGTTCATATTATTATAATTACTGTTTGAGAGTAGAAATAACAAATTTTAAAAGCAATTATTAAAACATAAGAATACTACAATGCTGAGCTAATAAAACTGCTTTAGACTAATGCAATTTCCCCCCTACCATAAATAAATATGCTGTATTTTATCTTGTATAGATTTGCACTTTTTTAATCGATTATTAAAACGCAAAATCAATTATAATGAATTATCAATTGTTAATTGATTTTTGTCTAAAATATTTAATTAATAAAATTGAGTACTTACGTTAAATGAGGAACATTAAATTAATTATCGTAAGCCAATACCCACCTGAAAAGAAACAATGAATGAATATTAGGAAATTGTAGTATGAGTATGACAGATTACTACCAATCTTTCGTTTGTAGCCTTTGCATAATTTAGTAACTTTCTGCATAACTAAGTAAATTTTCATAACTTTTTTCTCTTATATGAATTATGATGAAAATAAATATTTCATTGTTTAA